ACACCACACCACACACACACCACACCACACCACACCACACCACACCACACCACACCACACCACACCACACCACACCACACTTACACATATGAACAGGACTTTGCAGATTACACGGAGGACTTACCAACGATTGCACAAGTATCTGGCTACTCCCCTGTTCACTCGACAGAAGAGGTGCACAGCCAGAAGTGAGTGTGAGTGTGTGTATGTGACAGAGAGATGGGCAGGTGGAGTACGGTTTGGTTGCCTTAACAACAATTTGGGCAAAGTAGCAGCCGCAGCATCTCTTCTTCTCCGTGGGAAGATTTGGAACCCCCCCTCCTCCTCCTGCCTCCCCCTTGCTGTTGATGAAGCCATGGATTCACTTCTCTGTGGCATCATCTTCCTGTTTTGTTTTGTTTTTCTCCCCCAACTTTTTGTTTTTACTTATTTTTAATCATTAAGAGAAATTGTACTGCACCAGCTGGTCAGACTTCACAAGAGAGAATGACATGTCTGTTAGCTGTCAAAATTAGCCTGTGGGATTTATTAAAACTACCAGAGACACGTGATCCATCGTGGCAGTGTTGAAGAGCAGTGCCTCAACTCTATTTTTGTGTCCTGAAAGACTGTCTAAATCCCACAAGTGGACATACTTTTCTTTTATTTTGTATTTTAGGTGTTTGAGGTTTAGCTCTACAGTTACATTAACAGGGGATTTAATGTTCTCTTTGCAATGATCCCAATGGTATGAGTAGATGTTTTGGGGTTTTTGTTTTTGTCTGCGTCCACCTCAGGTGCGTTGCAACCAGGACATTGTAGTAAATCCAAAAAAACCATACAGCACATATAGTGTGTCTTCAGGTTTGTGGCTGCGGTGGGAAAAGCTGTGAATGAAACGATGATCTAGTCTGGAGGCTGGTGTGTCCGCACCGAACGGATGAGAAATTGTTTTTAAACTCAGTGCATAGTGATGTGGTTTTTGTGTGTTTGTGTGGTTCTGTCTTAGGGTTATCTTAGGGTTGTACAAGCTTCAAATGGTTGTGGGATAAACATGTTGAGGGTATTTCTTTCTTTTTTTGTCTCCTTTGCCTCCTCAACCTCACTCTAGACCATCTGTCCATCTGCTTCCAAAGGTTTTGTTTTGTTTTTCACGCGTACTTTGACAGCTTTCTTCGTGAACCTTAATAAACACTCATGGATGATTTCAACCAGAATTCACAGGATGTTGCAGCCTCCTTGTCTCCACGTGTCTCTAGTAGAAGCCACAAAAACGAATCTCTCAAACGTTTTAAGTAAACGCAGCAGAACTGCAAGACAGAAACTTAAAGGATTAATTACATTGGAGGAAAGGCTCCAAGGTAGTTTAATGACTTGGATTTTACTGATACCCAGTTTGTTACATCGCAAAGTATTTTACATCATGGTTGCACAGTGCAGCGCAAGCCGCTTGGATAAGGTGTCTTTGATTTGCCTTAAATGGGTGTTTCACAGTTTTTTAACAAATCGATGATTAAGTCTGAGGGTGGAACAGCTGCTTGAACTGTGAAAACACGCTTTGACCCTCAAACCTGATTTCCTGATTGCACCTGCAGCCCTCACCTAGTAGAGATCACACATTAGCTGCTGTTTAACCTGCCGACTCTCCAGTCCGTGCGTGTGGAGTTGGATTGCAGCTAATATTCCAGTGTGTTCCCCGCCAGTGTGTGCTGCCTCCAGAATGCACTGGGTCACCTAAACACAGCGGGCGTCTCTGAGCCGACTGTGCTGCCGTGTCTTACGTGTGAGAAAAACAGCTGTGCGTTTAAACCATCTTCAAGTCTGATTTTGCAAATGCCGCAACTTTCTGTGAGCTAAAGACTAAATTACTGAGGTTACCTTTTAAAAAGGTAGATTCCGGTAATGTACTTTCCTCAAGCTGGGATCCATTCTGCCGATAGCAAGTTAAAGATAAAATGAAAAAATGCCACAACTCTTCAGATGTCATGGCCTCAGTTTGTACCTCCTGGTAGTATTTGATCCTGCATTTGTTTGTTTTTTCTTCACAGTTTAGAATTGTACTGTGCAGCCTATGTTGCAATGACTTTTAAAAGTAATTGGAATAGAAGGAGCTTGATATAAAGAAAATAAAGATCATTAGTTTCAGTCTGGTGCTGACCCACATCAGAGGGTCTGGCAAATAATGTGAAAGTTTGTGTAGAAAATGGACAGGATTGGTTTAAAAAGGATGATTTTGGAGACAAATGAAACAAGTATTAATTAAAAAAGGTGGGCGGGGCGGGTTGGACGAGTCCCAGTGGTACTAAAAGCCACGCACGGCTCCTCCCTGTGGCTCGATCTGAATCGTGCACATTTTAAAGTAGAAAACTGTCGATGTGGTACACTGATTGCAATGTAACGTAGGCCGATTTTCTGTAGTTAAAGGGGAAAGGGGTTGTCGTGGTATTTTGTACTCGTCGTTGTGTATAGGATGCGCCTACTTTGTCTACCAGGTCCACATGAGCCACTGGTTTTGGATGATGACGACAGTGTATGGAGGGAATGGGAATGCCTCACTCCATTAGAATTCCCGCTAAGGCAGTTTTTGTTTCATACACTTCACCTGTGGGCTTGAAAATCAAAAAAAGTGATGCATTAACTTGTTCGTTTCACTGATGGCTATAATAAATGCAAGTACAATTTACATGGGATAGATTTTGCAGGCTGCCTCACGCAGTTCTCCTTTTGTCAGTTTTGCTTTGAACTGTGCGTTGTGGAGATGGTTGCTCATGTCCCAAAATGCATCTTTCTGTGGATCATGGGAAATTGTTTCTTTTCACTCCCACCTCAAAATTTTTGCTCCTCATTTGTAATACCACTGTATTTGTGTATTTTAAAATTGTTTAAATAAATTAAGTACTTGTATGTGTGTGTGTGGTGTTTTATTTTATTTTATTTTTATTATTTTTTTATATTGTGTCAGTGTGAGACCCTAAGGCACAGTCATGCTGAGGTCCTCGTTTATCAATTTAAACCAGCTGTGTTGGATCAAGGACGCGTCTAAAACCTGCAGGACCCCGGCCCTCGAGGCCTGGGGTTCCCCGTGGAGGCTGTGCATCTCGAATAAAGGAACTGACAAAAAAGGATTTGGTAAGAATAACAGCAGTGTTTGAAAAACTTTCTTTAGTAGTTTAGAAAAGACAAGATGTAGGAGCAGTCACACAGACTATTGTCATAAGTAGGCAAGAAGTGGACCCAATGGCAAGGCTGTCAGGGAGATTACCTAAAGGAGAACTATTTAAGGAATGCAGAAAAAAATGTGGTTTAGGAGGTAGAGCAGGGCATCTACTAACTGGAAGGTTGGTGGTTCGAGTCCTGGCTGTTCCAGTCTGCGTGCCAAATGTCCTTGGGCAAAATACTAACCCCAAAATGCTTTTTGAGTCACACACACAGTATGAATGTGTGTGTGAATGTTAGATAGAAAGCACTACATATGAATCAGTCCATTTATAATTGATGAATAAAAATTAATTACAAAAAACTGAAATCCAAAAGTAAAAAAAAATAACAGCAACAAGGAACACAAATAAGATAAACACACGAAGAGAAGAGAAGAGAAGACTGCACAAAGATACACCAGGAGCTATTTAGGGAACTAATCATTGACAGGAAATAAAGCTGAATTCTCTGAGACACATAACTTCAAAGACTACTTCAGCAACTAGTAGCTGGACCAGCTACTAGTTGCTGCATTTCTCACATTCCGAGTTTTTTTTCCTGTTTCTTAAGAACCTGATTTCAGTTCATCTGCTGTGGATGTTCTTTAGGTCTGACACTTTTTTGTCCTCCTTTTGTTCAGTTTCTTTACACTTTTAAGGGAACAATCTTAAAGCTAATCTTGAAACAACTGTGCTTTTATAAATGGGCGTCTTCTCTTTCTTATTTTGCAGTGCTTCCTCACTCGGTCCCTGCATCCTCCTTCACTAAATCTGTGAATCTTCTCTGTGTGTTCCTTGTACGCTTGTATACTGAATGACAAAGTCCGTTTGTCTCTTTTCCTCACGGCTAGCTGCTCTATACCTTATATCCTTTGTCCAGTACATCTACTATCCCTCCTCTGCATATGTCCATAGATTCATTTCTAATCTTGTCCATCCTAGTCACTCCCAATGAAAATGCTACCTTCATCTTCACTTCCTGTCACTTTCGTTAGTGACACGATTTCCAAGCAGTGCGCTTCCATACTTTTTCATGATACAGCCTGATTCCAAAATGGATTAAAGTGAGATTTTCACCTCGGAATTCTACACGCAATACCGCATTATGACAAAGAGGGAAAATGTTTGGTTAAGATTCTTGCAAATTGATTAAAAATGTTAAAAACAAAACAAAAATATAATATGTACATAAGTATTCACAGATTTAGCTCAAAAGTTTTTGAAGCACTTTGGCAGCAATTACAGTCACATCTTTTTGAGTATGATGTGACAAGCTTGGCACGCATGTTTTGGGCAATCTCTCCCATTCTTCTGTGCAAACGCTCTCACGCTCCATCAGCTTGGATGGGGAGCGTCCAGTCTGGGCTCTGGCTGGTCCTGAAGACATGCCTTTGTTCTCTTGGCTGTGTGCTTAGGGCCATTGTCCTGTTAGAAGATAAAGGCCAGAGCGTTCATCGGACCAGAGAATTTTGTGGTGTGCAGCGCAGTGAGGTATGTTCAGGCCTCAACATAGAAGAAATCAAACAGCCACTCCACGAACTCGTGCCACAACATTGAAGTGCGATCTGCATCTAAAGGACAAAGGTCATTTTTTGGAGAATGGCTGTGATCACATTTCAGACGATGAGACAGATGGTTTGAAAGAGGAGTAAAGGAGGCCATTGATGCCTTCTGTAAATGACCACTAGACACCCCAGAAGCACCAACCCCCACTCACACAACACCCCAGGTGAGCTCAATAGGTTATGTGATGTGGTGGGTCATGGTCTCACAGTGGTTTTACCCTTAATCCCCAGTGATGGCA